TTTTTTGCCTGTTTCTTTTATGTCTTAATGGGAAAAAAATATCATTTTTTCAATGAGGAACATCTAATGAGGCAGTTACAACAAATTATGTGTATACATGTGCTAGGGTGGGACAGAGTTTTGGGTGGTGGGTGGAGTGCTAATCAGATTAAAAATTAACTCAAGCTATATAAAATTTGAGAAAGAGAAATCCTGCTGTCTTAAAAGACAGGCTTCAACGTGACATGGCGCTGCTCTGATGCGAAGGGAAAAGCTGGAGTGATTGTTGGTTTATACATAAAGATCAGCTCAGGGTAAGATTTTTTACACTTTTGGTTCGTTACATGAGTCTTTACATGGCTGACTGCATGAATTAAATTATAATGTGGGATTATGTGATAACACAATACTCCATGGCTATTTTATTCCATTTTGACTTAAATCATAAGCAATTAGGTCAAAATGTATCACTTGATGCACTATAGTTATCTGATTATTTAAAACTTGCTATATTATTCCTTAATTATTCATATTTCTAGCAGCCAGTTGAGATGGGATGAGGTGAGAATAGATAAATATAAGTATAGGTAAAAAGCAATGGAGTGATAGCAAATAAAAATAATTGTCATACTATATGCACAAAATATGGCATACCTACACATCACAGCTGCAGGAGCTGCTCAGACATTGAAATCCATGCCATGAAGCTCCTAGCACAGTTTTTGTGTTGATGCCAGAAGAAGTTTGTAGCCTTTCAGCTCACCTTTTTCCACCTCAGGACTCAGCGACTCGTCATCGCAACTTGGTTGCAGCTGGGATAGGCTGCAGACTATCACAAAGAGCTAACACAAAGAGCCAGACAACTATTTGCACTCATACCTACAGGCATATAGAATTACCAGTAATTCCATGTCGCTGGACTGCGGGAGTGAGTGCTAACAGTGGCACTCACCCATTCCATCATAAATATTTGTAAAGGTGGACTGCGTGGCTACGTATTTGACTTTCGTCTTTGAATACAACTGAATTCAAAGATTAAGAGGTGTGGCACAATACTTCATCTACATGGTGTTTGCTCAGTCAATAAGCACCTTTCAAGTTTTTATGAACAGCATAATGTTTCAAAGGTTAAGCTCCTCCTTAGACTTCTGAAAAGAGAGAAAAAATGTAAACAATAAAATAGGAACTGCTCATGTTGGCTAATAGACAAGTATTTGACGTTTATTTGACAGAGATTGACAATAGACAATGCCATCCTCCTATCACTTATCTGGGTTTGTGTTGCGTGGGCAGCAGTTCGAGCAGAGAGTCTTAAGCCATCTGAGAAATATGATCTCTCCAGCCAGTCATTGGTCTGCCCTGAGCCTAGGCAGACAATAGACAATGTTGTGTATTGTCCATATCCAGCTGACGTGGTTATTAGTTCAAAAGGTGTTAGAGGAAGCACTGAAACAGTAGTGTTTACTCTGCATTCTGTTATGAACACACTAGAGAAAGTTCACTGTAAGCTTGGGTTTCAGCTGTAACATACAAAATTCAAGAGGAATGCTCATGAAATTCTGGAAGAATGTCTTGCTGTTAACAGCACGAGATCTACAAAGTCATTTGAAGCACAATAAAAGGGAACAAGTGAATTATTTTATGAAGAAATGGCTGTGGTCATGGACAGCAGAATAGATTAATAGATTACATAATTCACACGAAAGTTAATGGACTTTATATAATGATGGTGATGCCACAGAGGCAAATTGAAGCTTTACCAAACCAGTATTAGGCCTTTAGAGACTCTGACATAATATTTAAGGCTAATCAGTGGGCAGATATTTGCTATGCATCTAAAACCACGTTTTATCTATCCATGAACCAAGATGACACACACCAGTTAGTTAAACTGCATGAGTGTCTTTAAAGACATAAAGACCTGGATGATATCTGATTTCCTGCTTCTATATTCAAATCAAACTGAGGTTATTGCACTCAGCCATAAAAATCTGACATCCAGCCAGATGCTTATTCTGGATGGCAACATCCTGTCCCAGAGTGATACTGAAAAAAACTAGTTCCTGCATTTGTTACTTCGAGACTGGACTACTGTAATTCATCATTATCAGGATGTCTAAAAACTCCCTGAAAAGCCTTCAGTGGATCCAAAATGCTGCAGCAAGAGTACTGATAGGGACTAGAAAGGAAGAGCATATTTCTCCTATACTAGCTTCTCAAATCAAATCAAATCAAATCACTTTTATTGTCACATCACATGTGCAGGTACATTGGTACAGTACATGTGAGTGAAATTCTTGTGTGCGAGCTTCACAAGCAACAGAGTTGTGCAAAATACAATAATGTAAACAAGCAAAATACAAGAATGGCTACATCTGAAACTAATAAATATATGCTTGATTCCCAGTGAAATCCTGAATTGAATGTTTAATCCTTCTCCTTATATGTAACGTCTTGAATAATCAGGCCTCATTAAGACCTCACAGTACCATGTCACTTTGAATCAAGCTCTTCACTCTCAGACTGCTGGCTTACTTGTGGTTCCTAGAGTGTTCTGAAGTAGAATTGGAGGCAGAGCCTTCCATTTTTAGGCCTCTCTTCAGTGGAACCAGCTTCCAATTTGTATTCAGGATACAGACACCCTCTCTGCTTTTAAGATTAGGCTTAAAACTTTCCTTTTGGATAAATCTTATAGTTAGGGCTGTATCAGGTGACCCTAAATCCATCCTAAGTTATGTAGCAATAGGCTTAGGCTGCTACATATTAAATGTTTATATTTGAGCCAAATGCAAAAATAGATGTGCTTTAAACCAAATACTCAAAAACTCATATTTTAAGACACTCTGGGGTCAACAATAATTTGATATGCATCATTCATACAACTATATGAAAATGAATGCCACAGTTCTGCACAAGGCAGATGAGTACCACTAAGATAAACTGGTGCCTTAAAGAAGCAGTATTTAACTATACTCAAACAGCTTTGCTGCATCGTTGTAAACTGAAGTTACACAACAGATCGCTAAGTGTTGTGGAGGACAGTTCAACAGAGAACAAAGAACACCTTAACCACAGATACATGGAGACGCCTCCCATCTGATTCCCTAATGTGTAAATTCACTTGTAGCTTACTTATGTCTTTTGTTTTTCTTTTTACCTTTAATCCAGTGATTCACAGTTCAGTGAAGTGATGGAGGAAACACATTTTTCACTGGTTGCATTGAGTATCTTCATTTTACTGACTGTGAGGTGCTGTTGTGAAGAAAAGGCCTACAATCCACTGAAAGAGGTATGACTAAGTCAAATGAGATGCACTCACATTTCCACGCAGAACTTCGCAGCCACTTCAGCAAACGTATTAAATAAGAAGTTGAAAAAATAACAACACTGAGCAAAAGGCTACAGTGGGGCAAAAAAGTATTGTCAGCCACCGATTGTGCAAGTTCCCCACCTAAAATGATGACAGAGGTCAGTAATTTGCACCAGAGGTACACTTCAACTGTGAGAGACAGAATGTGAAAAAAAAATCCATGAATTCACATGGTAGGATTTGTAAAGAATTTATTCGTAAATTAGGGTGGAAAATAAGTATTTGGTCACCTCAAACAAGGAAAATCTCTGGCTCTCACAGACCTGTAACATCTTCTGTAAGAAGCTTTTCTGTCCCCCACTCGTTACCTGTACGAATGGCACCTGTTTGAACTCATCATCTGTATAAAAGACACCTGTCCACAGCCTCAAACAGTCAGACTCCAAACTCTGCCATGGCCAAGACCAAAGAGCTTTCGAAGGACACCAGGAAAAGTATTGTAGACCTGCACCAGACTGGGAAGAGTGAATCTACAATAGGCAAGCAGCTTGGTGTGAAAAATCAACTGTGGGAGCAATCATCAGAAAATGGAAGACATACAAGACCACTGATAATCTCCCTCGATCTGGGGCTCCACGCAAGATCTCATCCCGTGGGGTCAAAATGATCATGAGAACGGTGAGCAAAGATCCCAGAACCACACGGGGGGACCTGGTGAATGACCTGCAGAGAGCTGGGACCAAAGTAACAAAGGTCACCATCAGTAACACACTACAACGGCAGGGAATCAAATCCCGCAGTGCCAGACGTGTTCCGCTGCTGAAGCCAGTGCATGTCCAGGCCCGTCTGAAGTTTGCCAGAGAGCACATGGATGATACAGCAGAGGATTGGGAGAATGTCATGTGGTCAGATGAAACCAAAGTAGAACTTTTTGGTATAAACTCAACTCGTCGTGTTTGGAGGAAGAAGAATACTGAGTTGCATCCCAAGAACACCATACCTACTGTGAAGCATGGGGGTGGAAACATCATGCTATGGGGCTGTTTTTCTGCCAAGGGGACAGGACGACTGATCCGTGTTAAGGACAGAATGAATGGGGCCATGTATCGTGAGATTTTGAGCCAAAACCTCCTTCCATCAGTGAGAACTTTGAAGATGAAACGAGGCTGGGTCTTCCAACATGACAATGATCCAAAACACACCGCCCGGGCAACAAAGGAGTGGCTCCGTAAGAAGCATTTGAAAGTTCTGGAGTGGCCTAGCCAGTCTCCAGACCTCAACCCCATAGAAAATCTGTGGCGGGAGTTGAAAGTCCGTGTTGCTCGGCGACAGCCCCAAAACATCACTGCTCTCGAGAAGATCTGCATGGAGGAATGGGCCAAAATACCAGCTACTGTGTGTGCAAACCTGGTAAAGACCTATAGTAAACGTTTGACCTCTGTTATTGCCAACAAAGGTTATGTTACAAAGTATTGAGTTGTATTTTTGTTATTGACCAAATACTTATTTTCCACCCTGATTTACGAATAAATTCTTTACAAATCCTACTATGTGGATTCATGGATTTTTTTTTTTTTTTTTCACATTCTGTCTCTCACAGTTGAAGTGTACCTCTGGTGCAAATTACTGACCTCTGTCGTCATTTTAGGTGGGGGAACTTGCACAATCGGTGGCTGACTAAATACTTTTTTGCCCCACTGTAACTCTTTTTCCCTGTCCCCCAAGGCTGGATCGGACCGTGATTTGAAGAGATTTGATGACATCAGTTATGACAGCTTTCTGGGTCTGATGGGACGGAGAAATGCTGCTCTGACAAACAGTATGCCAAGAATTTTTGCTCCACTTTTCCTAAGAATGAAACTCATTTAACCTGTAGTTGTTTTAACATAAAAAGCAGCTGAATTTGGTGTTAAACAAGTTTTCATCATTGTGCTTTACTGAATGCAATATTTTTCTTTTGCAGGGGACACTGATCACAGCCTTGCTGATCTGTTGGGGTGGAGAACAAGTGAGTGCCTTTGGAATCAGTAGAACAGTTCTCACTAGAAGGAAGATGCGCTGATAAATGAATTAGATGCATTTTCTTAAATCTCAGGTCACTTTTAAGCAACTTCGGAAGCACTTGTTAGTTAGGTTTAGACTCCAAAAACAACATGGTTAGGCATAGGTGTTAAAACAGTAACAGTAAACCACACTTGTTGATGGATGAGCTGGGAGCAACTGCTCGCTCTCAATCAAGAGGCAGCATTACACTCTCTACAGCCTCTCCTGATTTTTTTTTTTTTTTTTTTTCACGCCTATCACAAGAGCTCAGGCTGAGATTGTGAAAAGGTGTGGATCTGTCAAGTCTGGTATTCCATGGCAAGTGACAAATCTAGTTCCAGGAAGCAGTGAGCAGTGTTTCTTGGTCAGTGTACATAGCTTGAAGGCACTTTACTTTTCTTTGCAACAGGTATGACTAGTCTGCGTGAAAACAGGTATGCAGAAAAGAGGAGGCGGTTTCACTGATGATGGAAGGCATAGGTAAGAAACCCGCTCACTTGAGAAAAAAGAAATACAAGAAAGAAAGTTATGTATCGCTTTTGTGGAAATGTTTTGACTCCATTTTGGATTTTTTTTTTTTCCCCCCTCAGGATGGAACGCTTTGTTTAATGGACACATGACACATACTTGTATCATGAACCCTCATGGTGAAACTTCGGCTTTTCCATCGCGCTGTAAACCTTCAGGGCTACTGTGGACAATGACCATCCGCCCATCAAATATTATTCAGTCATAGTAACCCTGCATTAATGTTCCTCTGCTGTGATGAGAAAAATGCTCTGTGCAAATACATGTAAACAAAATCAAGATATAAAATAAAATATGCTTTTATTTATAGTGATTAAATTACCATTTCACTAAAAACAATCCTGCACACTGATTATATCATGTGTGCTCACACATTAAAATGAACTCATATCCACACTGAAGTGTATCGACTCAATTAAGATTTCTATTCCAATATAAATACGTTCCAAATATAAATATAGCACTGTACACCATTCCCTTTAAGAAAACTCTGAAATGAGAAGATTGTCAAGGACCATTAGAAATGATGCGGCTGATATCAAATGTGAACGTGAGCAGCCAAAAGAAAGATGAGAAGAAAAAAACATTTTTTTAAACCATGCTCTGGTGAACATGCATGTGTTCGTGCACATACTACAGAAACCAAGTGTAAACACAAAGTTATATTTGAAAATATCAACCTCATACATTTTTAACCTTGAAGAAAATGTGGTCATAAAAAGAAAAAGAAAAAAAAATGGCCACCGTTCCATGAAAACCTTTAGTCACTCTGCAGATATGTGCCAAATTCCTTCTTCTTCTTTCAGCATTTAAGCTCACCTTTGGTGATTACTGCATCTACCACAGGTTTAATGTCTGGTTAGAAACTAGCAAAAGAGCTGTTATTAATTTTATTTTTTACATGTGCAAAGTGTGCCAACTTCAAATGAGGCCTGACTGGCAAAGACTTTCAAAATAACACCACCTTTGTCAAACTTAAAAAAACCAAAAAAGACATTCACTGACTTGAATGAAGCTCAAACACATTACAACAGATGGATTCAGTAAAATAAAACAGCCATCTGAATCAACACTCTCTTCACGCTCATGTCACAGTGCTAAGTCAAGTGTGCAGCTAATGGCTGGCTCATACAATCTCAATTTACAAGGCACAAGCTAATGACTCCACTGTAGGAAGATGCAGGAAACTGTGTGCAGCACGTTACACAGAAAGGTAACAATGTGCTGTGGGTCGGTTGATTAAGATCATTTTTCATTCCAGAGAAGACAAAAGAAGTTTGACTAACCTGTTCTTCATCCAACTGACTTCCCAGAAAGTCTTTGCTGACTAAACAAAGTCCTCTTTAACAAAAGAAAGAAAGAAAGAAAGAAAAAGACCCACAAGCGCCACACAATTAGCCCGATCACATATAACAGCTGAAAAGGCTCATCAGCCTTCACTGTGGTCTTGTGTGAAATCTTTGGCTGCATTGTAGAAATTTAGATTCCTTTTAAAGCATAACAGTCACCTCACTATTGAGGAGTATGCAATCAAAATATTTTCCTAAAATACATTTAGTAACATATGATATCGGTTATATCAAATATTAATACAATCAGTTGCCAGTTTATTAGGTACATATATTATTAGGTACACATATATATATATATATATATATATATATATATATATATTATATATATATATATATATATGTACACAGACACATATATATATATATATATAGCTATTTAACCATCCATGGAACAAAATATTTCATTTGATAGAGAATAAAAGATTGACCTATTCATCACTTTTTTAAAACCTTTTTTTTTTCACTGTTACTTTGAAAAATAGGAGATCCACTTTGATTAGCCTATTTACTTTTTAGGAAAACAGCAGTTTTTCACCAATTCTGATGTCTGGTTTACCAAGAGATGCAGACTAATGGGTACATAAATATTATTAGTTAACTGTAACTACTTCACTTAAGTAAACCTTTTAGACTTATGCAACGTCTTGGTTTAAAACATGTCTTCAAAGAAGGAACTTGTCAAAACACAAAACAACCAAAAATAAAAAGTAAAGAGATGCTACCCTTGTATTTTATGTGAAAAGGCTTTTAAGCACAATCCTAAACGCTAGTGTTTGGGAGGCATCAAACTCTCGTAAACAACAATATGATCTGACATAAACCAGGTTTCAGGCACATAGCTATAAGTGTGAACTGAAACCTAACAACTCCAGCAAGCCTTAAAGAGTGTTAGAACAAGTTTTACTGGGACTTTGTGGTAAGAAATGAAAGAACAGAAAAGTCACTTTTTTAAAAATGCACTGGAAATACTGGTTTACTTTGTTTTCAGAACAACAGAAAGGTGAGTCCTGTTATGGAACAATCTGTGAAAACACCTGACAAAACTGACATAGAGAGCCACAGGTCACCTTTTAGCATGGGGAACACCCAGTCTTGCTGTCAAAGTTCACTAGCAGTCTAAGTGGACAAAGTTTTTATACTTCACTTTGATTATCAGAATGGATACCCAAACACTCAACACCCCAAATCCACCGCATATCCTAATGATCAGTACCCTCAACACTGCTACAAAGTCCTACTGTTATTTACCCTCTGCAGCAGCAGGACCATCTTTACCATCTACAGGAGGGGGATCTTCATTCTGTCTCTTGTCAGTTCTGGATAGGTCTGGATGGACTAGTTTTTGTTCCAGCTTTTTGTCTTTTTTCCCAGCATCCCACGATTCAAACTTATTTATACTGTAGCCAGGTGGGGTGGGAGGCTGATAGCGATATCTGTAGCCAAAGGCACGCAGGTGATAAGTGTAATATTCCATTAAATACATCCCTACAGCATCCACGTAATGGAAAGATATTGACATGTCCGAGCAGCAGTTAGGACCCTGAAAAAAACAAAACAAGATATGGTTATTAATACACATGGAGGAATGTTTGTTTTGTAAACAAAAGAAAATGTCAATGTGAATGGGTGGAGTACAAAAGAAGACTAATGGTCTTGCGTCAGACTATTTATTCATGCTTGATAAATCCAGAAATGAATGCAAGACTCCATCAGTTTGGTTAAACAGTAGGGCTGTAACAAAACTGCAGTACCCAGCCCACAGTCTTGTTGCGATATCACCATTTTGTGGGTCTAAACACCATGTGTATAAATGCTAATTGACAGTGACAATGTTGGTAACACGCATTATGTTCAAGATGCTCATGCAGATTATGATTTAACCAGGTGTAGCTGTGCTAGTTAATGACTGATTAAAGAATGCTAGTCTGGTTAAACATATAATGTTAAAACTGGATCTATTGCGGATTTTATTCTTGGACTCTACTAGAGTAGCTTTGCAAGATACAAAATTTTGAATTAGTTCAACCACTCTCTTATATTAGCTGCTCTTCCAGTAAGCTCACTTTATTGAGACTGGCTGCACCTCACAAGCAAGAGAGTGCAGTCCAAAGCTTCAGCGTTTGGCTAATATAATGCTAACCTCAATATTAAAGAATCCATATTAGCTTCCACCACTTTGCACGCATGCCAGAAAGAAAAAACAACAAGCATAACAGGTCCACTTTAAACATTGTTCTAGTATGGAGTGAAGTGGAAATGCATCCAAATATTGGATTTTATTTTGCAGGTGAGAATTCAGTTAAAATATTAATAGTGTTCAGCTTTCTTTAAACCTCTTTAATAGTGATGTCAAGAGTAAACACAATGTCAACGGTGTTTGCCACACTTGCCTCTGAGATGGGGTAGTAGCAGTAGCTCCAATACCAGAAGCTCTTTGGAAATTTGGCAGTGAGGTGCTGCTCAAGGACAAAGGGGTGAAATGTCTCCCTATGAAAAGAGTCTCTGGAGTCTCCAGCCAGCACCCCAACTTTCTCCATGCACTGCCCCATTGCCAGGTCCTCTACGGAGGTAGTATGAGTACACTGTTTGCTTTTAAAACCTTCAACAAATCTTCGCAAAGCCTCTTTGCTCAGTACGTAGCCTGCACCACCACTCATGTAGCCCTGCTTAGTGTAGGGCTTGAATCGTCTGCCGAAGTAAATAGGTTCCTCAGGAGTGTGGTTTGCAAGAATCCAGCGCAGGTTGTCCACTATGACGTAGGTGTCGTCATCTGCCTTGAGGAACCAATCTGCCTCATCTGCATAATGCTCATAAGCATAATGGTAGGCCCGAATTGTTTTCCAGTACAGCTGATCCCGACCCTCCTTTGTACCTAATCCCACTGTGGGAAAGTCGGGGTCATCCACAGAGCTCATGAAGACAACAATATTGCAATGGCGACTCCAAGTGTACTTCGCATGTCGAGTCTTCGTCTCCAGGTTTTTGGGTCCAGTCATCACCCAGCAAAGAATACGCACCTTTTTGTACAATTCATCAGCCATGCGGCTATCCTCACCTGGTAAGGACACAGAGACGTTATTATCATTTCACTGACTGAAACAAAGATAAGTCCAACTGTTTCAGGAACCTCCTACAACTACTGATGGTCCTGGAGGGTAAACTAATGGAAAGATGTTTTGCTCACATGTTATTGTTGTTGACTGTGCTTCCAGGTTCGCAAATAATCAATGCAGAAAAAAAGACAAGATTTCACATTTAATTTGCTGATGGCAACTTGGAAATACTGAGACTAGTTATGGTTGGTAATAATTCTGTCACAAAAAAGCAGTGCAGATCAGTGCAGTGCAACAGCTATTTAGATAAACAGTTTGGGCAAGTTACCAGTAATGAATTACTTCACCTTAATTTCACATCAAATCTGAGTACTAAAGGTATATTTGCACATACATAAGATACCAGATTACTGGAAAAGTGGGGATCAATCAGGTAATAACATGCTTTCATGCACTACAACACCCCATGAAGTGTACGGACCCCTGCAACATTTTACTATAGCATACAAAATCTGTCTGCCTGTGAGATCCTCCAACATAATCAGGACTTGAGCAACCAAAATTGGCATAGTACACAGGTACTGCACATATTAACCCGATTAAATTCATGAATATTATGAAATGCTTGGCAACCACCTACCAACGGGTAAAAGAATCCATTTCAGCATTTATGCACCTATATTATTTTATAAAAGTGTTATACAATTGATTGGTCTGATAAGCAGTGTAAGGTGATCAAACCCTCTCGTCTGAAAGATTCAAAAAATTTATTTAACTTTCTTTCCAGTTTTATCTGTGATCTTCTTTAATAGGTGTCATGGATGCTTTGAATATTTCATTTCACTCTTATGAGTGATTCTGTGTGTATTCACTTTTGTCTTTGCAGGGAGAACAAAAAGCTCTAGTAACTAATACTCATGACTCAGTACGGTGATATGCACCTTTATTCACAGCTTAAGTGAAACTGTTACTAAAATGGTTCTACTTATCAGCGGTCTGCTAGAAATCTGCTGACTTAAACAAATTACAGAGACATGAGAGGTTTTTGTTCCCCTGTCCTGGATTACAGAAATCAGCTTCCAATTCTCACTAACACAGTTGGACTCTTCCCTTCAATGTATGCTAATACACTCGTTTCCCTGTGCTTTGTGTTCCTGAGCTTTCACATCTTTCTTCTTCCTTGTGGATTCCAGTCAAGACCTGGCGACTGCTGAGCTTCCTGAGGGTGTAGTCAATCATCTCCACTTTATCCTCATGATTATATGACTATTGATTTCTTGTTTGTTCTTGTCCACAGTTCTCACTTGGTAATGTTCAAATCTTGATTGGTTATAAGGGATTTATACTTCTTTGCTAAATCTACGCCATAAGCACACTGTAACCACAAACCTCTTTGAAATCCTAGATTGTGTCCTGACGTGCACGTCCCTGGAAATGTAAACACACAGCTGCCCGTAAAGCCCACTTTTGACTACATTATTGCATCATGGGTTTTACATAGATTCATATCATACAGAAAGTACTCAGGTATAACAGGAAAGGCTACTTAGCAGTTATAAACAAGGCTTGAGAGAGTTATGGCTGCAATAAACGAAAACAGCTGCAATCTAAAACAAATGTAACTTGGCTCTGTTAATCGTCAAACACAGAGCACATTTTTGTTAATCAAAATAAAAAATATTGAAAAATAAAAAATGGATTACTGCAGACATTTCAGTTAAATAAGGCAACAAGGTGACTCCGAACCTGTGCTCTAAGTAAGTGAATATGTACAATCTTCAAGGATATAACTATGTAGCTCGTGGTCACGTGCAAGAGATAAAGTTTTATAAACCGGACTCAACCCTTTTCTTTGTTGAGAACATATGTCCTAAAAGTCTGAAGATAAATAGAATCACGTCCTCACTTGGCCTGAAGATAAAATATTGTTCTGGTTTAAGACAAAACATTTCACCCCTTTAAAACATTGAAAGGTTTTTACCTATATTTGTAGCTACTGAAGCAGTCCATGGCTTTCTATGCTTCACTACCTATACATATAATGTACAAACTTGCCTAGCAGAAAGTGAGACTACTATGGTATAAAAGGGACTACAATGAAGAAGTGAAATTTAAAAAGGAAGTTTTCATTTATGCTGTAAGTGTAGCTGACCAAAGTCCAAAGCTGAATACCGTAAATTATTAATTTATCAGAAGATTCAAAGTCTGAAACACACAGATTGGTGTTTAATTAAGGCATTAAAGAGGCACATGCTGTGATACCTATGTGATGAGGGTGCTCGAGGTTGAAAAGTGCAGACCCCTCTTTCTTCCACATTTTCTTTTCCTCCTCGAGCTGTTGCTGGTAGTCCTGAATTCTAGCCAAGGTGGTGACTTGATGCATTGGCAGAGTCTTCTCAAACCAAAGCTGCCGCAGAAACACGTACAGCGTAAAAGTTCCCACCACAAAGCCCGCATAAAATGAGATTCTGGGTCCGAGGGTCTTCATGGTGGACCGGATATCCTCACGGGCAGAGACTTAACTTGGCAGCAGCTGCGTACGAGAGCAAAGGAAGCATGGACCTAAGTTTCACTACAGTCTCGAGCTGTAGACGTGTTGACTATGAGCGTGATTACAAGTGTTTGTCACTCCCTGTTAAAGGTGTGGTTTACTCACCAGCTTTAGCCTATCAACCATATCAGCTTTATGACAGCACACAGCTAGTCCATAGGTGTTCAAACACTTCCGCGCATAAAGCGGCGTTTTTCTTCAGGTAGCCCAGCTAGCCACACTTGCTAAGTTAACACGTATGATGGTGGGTGTGGGGGTGGGGTAAAAACCTGCTAAAAGAATATGTATGTTAACCGAGAAAACAAAATTTCCCCGGAAGAAAAATAGAACTAAGTACAGTCACAGTCATAACCAGTTAATCGGTTTCTCCAGTCATGTGTGTTAGGACAGCTGGTGATAGCTAACTAGCTAGTCCGTTATTTTTCCGAGTGCTAACGTTAACTTTCCATCACGTCGCGGTTACACGGAGCAAGAGGAAACTACTAAGCCCACCAACGGGCTGAAAAAAATCCTGACAGGAATAAAGTCAGAGAGTTTAGTGAAACTGTCACGCAGATTACAATAGTATTACTAATATTATACGAAACACGCCAAGAACTACATCTAACTTGTCTGCCGCTTCCTTCCGTCTAAAAAAAAGTAACTTCCGGTCAATTTATTCAGAAGAAAAGCGCTGACATGTTTTCACATAAGTTAATATGGAGAGTGGTGTGTTTTCTTTATAAAATAATACGTAATAATATGACTTTTGTTTTCTCAGAAAAAGATGTGAGTTGTGGAATATGTTTGACTGTGAAAGTTGAGCATAAATACAGTTATATAAACAAAGGAAGCAAAGTCTGGTTGCAGTGACAAAGAGAAAATACAAAAAAAGGACTGACATTTGTTCCGCCTGTGTCAACACACGACTGGATCATGTGTTGACCCCATCACCTCTTCTTTGTCTGTTCACTTCTATGTTTCTTCCTTTTCTAACTAAATTGATTTCGTTAACAGGGGTTTACATATGTGGTAGGATAAAACTTCCAGTGCATAATTACTGTTCTTTAAAGTGTGTTGATATTAAATAAATGAATTAAATAATTATAAGAGTCATGTATCAACAAAATTAAAGCCGAATGTTAATTTATACCTTATTTCAACTGTTATTTTTGTTACCCAATTTGGGTACAGGACAGGTTTTAAAACTGAATAAAATTTTAAAATTCAGAACAAGCACTGCAGTCAAAAATGTCCAATACACACATTGTTACAAGCAGCTTTATTGGTATACAGATACATATAAATCAATTAAACACTTCCACTGGTCCTATAGGGATTCACTTAAGAAACACGAGGCACAGACAGAGGTTGTGGCACAGTCTTAAGCACTAATAAAATGACCGCTCACCCTAATTCAGAGATCACACTCTAATACTACTGCACACAATCCCACAAGAAACCCAACTGATCCCAGTGAGCAGACAGGCTGCCACCACGAAGCTCTAAAGCACACAGCAGGACCCAGATATAAAAATCACTAACGAAATAGGCTAAAAATACCAAGAAAAGAAAAAGTTGTATGTTAAAAATACAAACAATTAAAAACACTGGTGGATAATAATCAATACTTGACAAAAAGGAGATCATTTTGCTTAGCTTTTCTAAAGCATACCTAGTACAGGAAGTGCAACAGGGTTTTGAATTGACCAAACCTCAACATATCCCTTATATAGAGGACTGTGTTGAATCAACTTCATTCATTAAGCAAGGAAAAGGCCTGACACTGTAATTCTCTGTCTATTGCACAGTGTCTGTCCTATATTTATCAGCTGTTTTATTACAGCGATATGGCAGCCTCGCTTCTGTCAGTCTGCCCCAGGGCAGCTGTGTAAAGCGCTTTGGGTGCCTTGAAAGCGCTATATAAATCCAATCTATTATTATTATTATTATTATTATTATCATTATTATTATTATTATTACAGGAATAATCAGGAAGATTACAAAAAAATCAAAGAAAAAGTATTGTAGAAGTTGCCAGATGATACATGTTTTTTTTTGTTTTTTTAAGATTGTATGTTTCACTGTCAGCCCCTTTTCATACTGCACACTATGTGTTCTCATTTCAGATTCCACTCTATAATCTTGGTTAACATAGAGAGGTTTCTTATTTCCAGCTAAAATTACAGTGCAAACATATTCTTTAGAGCAGGAGTCTCAAACTTGCACATATTGATGTGAAGAAATATAATACAATTCGGCCCTTGAAGTTGCTTTTATTAGAGAGGATTTGTTTGTTGTTGAGAGCAATGTTAAAATAGGTTCTTTAAAACACCCAAAATTATTTAATATGAAGGCAGAGAGTAAACATGTCTAGGCTGTGTTAGTTAAGTGAGAGTTATTTGTAAAGAAAACAATTTTCACTTGCAGTCAAAAACTAATGTGTACACTTATATATCTGCATTTTTATTTTGTTAAATACAAACAAAATTATAGCAGAAGTGCTGCCACGTGTCTGGCCAGAAAGACAGTATCAGTTAGTTTATTTGGTAGTTCAATGAAAGGCTTCAATTAGTTAAGAGTGAGGAAAGAAAATTGCGTTCACGTTTGCGATTTTGTCTTGTTATACAATATTTGAAATTTAGAAAAAAAACCCACTACATTTTCAGAAAGATTTGTGGGTGTTTTCTTGTTTGTTTCTTTTGCACTACTTGAACACTAAAGTGGCCCTCCAGTGAGATGACAGTGCCAGCAGTGGCCCACAGCTCATTTAAGCTTGAGACCCCTGCTTTAGAGCATATTTGTCTCCCATCTATAATGTACATTCTCTGCACTATCATTAAGTAATTGTTACACGTTTGTCAGACATTCAAACCACAAGAAGTTTTGATTTCTCACCCAAAAAGTGTTTTTTTTATTTATATCTGAACACACTATATATACACATCTAGAAATAGACTAGTGTATGTGAATCTCTTATGCCTGTTGCACACTTTTACTCGTGTCATCATTGTTATCTTTAATTTTGCATATTTGATTTTGGTGTTGTCTGTGAAGGTTCTCAATCATCCAGGTCATAGTAATCTAAGCAGCTTGGAAAGAAAAGCATCTGGACTTTAAGTTTCTTGAAGATGTTTCACCTCTCATTTGAGAAACTTCTTCAGTTCTAAGAGGAACTGGTCGAGTCCCAGATTTTTAAGCCTTTTTGGGAGTGTCCCTAAGAGGATCATTGACCAACTATTGATCGTCTGTCCAATCACATGAACCAAGGTGTGAAAACAGGTATAGGTCACTATCAGTCAAGGTTTCAGGTGTACACATTGTGAGACCTTGCCCTATCCTATCATGTGACTTACTGAGATAAAATGACCCAAAATGTGAGTGGGCGTTAAGACTTCTGAGAAGGGATCTCAAAACTGGATTATAGATAGCAGACCGTTGGTGTCATAGGCACAATGTGTTCACCCGTGAGAGTGTCACCTTGACTTCTGTGATTAGGCAGAGGATCAATACTGGGTCCTTGACCTTCCAAATAAGATTTTTAAACAGTCCAGATGCTTTTCTTTATAAGTTTAGACATAACACCTGATTTGTCAATCCAGGTTTCTATCAATTTTTCATGCTGTACCACAGCGAGCAAAATAGAACTTTATGGCACTAGGATTTTTTTAAAACTTAATTCAACAAAAGATAAGACAAGATAAGACAAACGTTTGCTCTTTTTCATGTGGTACTAATAAAGTGTGAGCTAAGAGCTGTAGCTACCTCAGTAGCACAAAGACATAAAATATATACTGTACAAAATCTTTTCAGAACTTGAACATTAAAGGAATGCAGATGTGCCAGCGTGAGCAAAAAAGAAAAAAGCGACTACTGAGGAAGTTTTTTTCCCCCTTTCCTCCTCATTTTGTATCAAGTACCTTTTTGAATATTTAATTGAGAGCAGAACAACAACATCTTAACTGCTTTATGATTAGAGGGAAATTTGATAGTGTCCGTTTAGTTGAGGAATTCCATCATGAAAATGGGGAAAATGAGTTTTCTTGTGAATATGAAATTTGGTCCAAAAAAAAGAAAAAAAAATAGAATAGTAAAATGATGTATTTACTTTTTTTTGTTTATGACTGAGGTTTACCAGCAAGTGAGGATTGGTAACAGGAGGAGGAGACAAGTTCAACAAATAATATAAATAGATCACGTCAGACACTTGTGAACATGCATTCAAGTGTGAAGAGAACCCGGCACCAAACACGCACAGCACGGAGGAACAGTTCCTCAGAAGGCCATCCACCACCTTCAGCTCTCAGCCTGGACACACACACACACACACACACACACACACACACACACACACACACACACATTTATTTAAGCAATGCTTGATCAAACATTGCATAAATAATAATGGATTGGATTTATACAGCGCTTTTCAAGGCACCCAAAGCGCTTTACAATGCCACTATTCATTCACTCTCACATTCACACACTGGTGGAGGCAGCTACAGTTGTAGCCACAGCTGCCCTGGGGCAGACTGACAGAAGCGAGGCTGCCATATCGCGCCATCGGCCCCTCTGGCTAACACCAGTAGGCGGTAGGGTAAAGTGTCTTGCCCAAGGACACAACGACCAGGACAGAGAGCCCAGGGATCGAACCGGCGACCTTCCGGTTACAGATGCGCGCGCACACACACACAAAAGATCAAAACACCCAATTAGGGAATCAAACGTAGTTGCTGCGCAACCAGCGAGGCAATGTGCAAGGGCCGCAAACCCAAACAATACCAAAGAACAAATGAAGTAAAACTTAAAACAAGACAACAAGAAAAAAGAAACAAAAAAGAAAAGAAAGATACTGCGAAAAAAAACGGCAGCAGCTCCAACATCTGCAAAATGACAAGTTGCATTTAGTGGAATGCCGCTTTAAATTTGAAGCTGAGTTCACGGGCAGCTTACATATACCTGGCCCGCTAAACTACTTCATTTGGACAAAAGAGGAGAGCTTCCCAACCAAATGCCCGGTGGGCCGATGGTGATTTTTCGTTTTTATGGGCCAATGGGTTTTTTGTTTTTTTTGTTTTTTTGGGGGGGGGGTTTCGTTTTTTTCTGTAACGGTATAAACACTGAAAGGTGGTGGATTTGACCGGATGCTGGGAGATGTGTAAAGTAACTCAGTTGTTTGGTGGTGGCTATGGCAGAGCTGCCACAGATTCAGTAACATTAGCAAGTGATGGAGGCCAGCAGATGCAACATGCTGGTAGGTGGATGACGGAAAGGCAGGAGGAGCAGAGACCCAAGGCGGTGAACTGAACTTCAGGTAAGAAGTTATGACCTGCAGTCTGTCTGGGTCAGATATAAACCAAGTTTAGGTGGAGTTTATTTTCGTTATGCTGACTTTTTACAGTCAGTTATAATAACTCCTACTTTGTACTAGCTAGCATGATGGAGTTTATAATAATAATAATAATAATGGATACTTTATTGATCCCCATGGGGAAATTACTTGTTTTTCTCTGCATTTGACCCATTCACTCAGTGAAGCAGTGGGCAGCCCACTAAGCAGGCGCCCGGGGAGCAGTGTGTAGGGACGGTACCTTGCTCAGGGGTACCTCAGGGTAGCCGTTAAGTGGATTCGAA